GTTAACACAAAAGATAACGATTGATTACAGAATATTCTCGGCTTTCGAGAGGCCGAGTTCTCTCCCATTGGACCTAAATAATCAAGACCCTCATTACACACAATGACTCCTTATTTATACTAGGTAAAAACTATCAACCAACTTCACTAACATGCTGAGCCTACTTGTACCACTGCAGCGACTACTTGTACAATTCTCCTACAGCCAACATTATATGACCTGTTTGGCTTTTTCAACCCAGCCTATCCTTTTAGACTTACTTGACCACATTGTCGAGGGTATAACAGTTCCTTTACGTCGGTTCTGATTTAGCCACTAAAGCTTGTATGGATTCTAGTGACATGAAGTAGAAATGTTGATTTTGTTGATACGACTTATGGATGCAACATTTGTACAATTACCACTATCGATAATAAGGCTGCACACCATCCCCTTAATTGTGCACCTTGAATGGAATATATGTTCTGTTTGGAGCACTCTCCATATAACCAAAAGCTCTTCTTTATTGGGTTTGATTCTCTCTTCAAAGTAGGCTCTTCGTCATAGATGGCCATCCCATCTTCCCCTTCCTCTATGACAGTAACCACGTCAATCACTCTCAAAGTCATGACTCGCCTGTACGGACATTCAGTTTGAAAGTGTCCCCAACCTCGCATTTGGAGCATTTCTTCTTAGGTGTTGATAATATTTTGGGGATTGTATTTTCTTATTCACAATAGGAGAGTATACAAACATTTATATACAAAAGAGTCCTATATTAGAGAACTACACAAAGGAGGCCAAGAAAGTAAAAACATTGGATCTTTTTCCTATATCCACTAAGATTTCGAATAGTGGTCCCGAATCAAGTTGATTCCATGACCGACCCCATCATCTCCACCCCGTAGGAACTACGAGATTACCCCCTATGTGAGGAGGCACCCCTTCTCCCGAAGTTACGGGGCTATTTTGTCGAGATCCTTTCGATGACCTATGTTGTGTTGAAGGGATATCTATATAATCCGATCGATTGCGTAAAGCCCGCGGTAGCAGCGAAACCGGGGAAAGTATACAGAAAAGTATACCTCAAGGTTATGAGCCTTGCGAGCTACCACAACTCTCTCGAAGGAACTCGGTAAAATAGCCCCGTAACTTCATTCCCTTCCACCAGTTCTACTACTAGAGGTTGCAAAAGCTAATGTAGCACTCCCAAATGACTGGGATGGAGAGCTACCGGAGTACATTTCTCGTGCAAGGTGAATAAATACGTACCAGATGCTAAGATCATAGAATTCCATATTCAACCCACTATAACATACCATACCATTGATGCTCAATACAACAAGGAAACAAGATCAATAACCAAATAATCGAATCGATAAACATAACAAGGACAGTGCATCACCCCGTCCTTCACCTTTCGGGCTCATGCCAAAGTCCGAGTCAGAATCGTACATCACGGGAAACCTCGCATTGCCCGCCTTCCTCTACCGGGTGTGTACCAAGGTTCCCTACTCATTGCTCTTCCTCCTTTTTGAGCAATGAGTATCCACAACCGCAGAATGTCTCACCCGATCCAACCCGAGATGTTGACTTCGCCATCAACTTCCGGCATGCCACACGAAGTGGTACCCGTACTATGGCGTACAATCCAAGGAACAAAACAACGAGTCCGAATCCGGAAAGCAAACTGATGTAACGAGATTATAATATGGAATAGACTCAAGGGACAAAATCAAAGCCAAATCAAGACCATGTGACTCAATTCAAGACCAGAAACATTCATATAAAAAAAATATATATATATATAAAACAATATGTAACAATTAACTATCTAACTCACTAAGCGTTTGCTTACCTTTTTTAAGTGTCAACCCTCTCAGGAAAGAAGACGGATAAAGGGAAAGAACCCGTTGTTTGACTTGAGGTTTATCGAGGGACTTTGAAGACTACGAACTTACTTTTGGTATATGGTAGTTTTATTACCGTTACTTAAAGATGTAGTAATTGTAGCTTGTAATTAGTTTTATTACTGGTTATATGTATGTCCCGTTTATTTTGCTACTTAATTCGGGTTGTAAGTAAGAATCCGTTATGTCCGGTTTGGAATTGTGTTTTGATTGGTATTTATCACCAACATAGAACGGACATTTTGAAGTTTTCTAGAAAATTAATATCCTGTATTTTGAGGTTAATCAATGTTTTTTTTTAATTGGAGATTTTGAAATTGGTAACTTGGGGTTTCTAAGCGAGGTGTTGCAGATATGATATTGATATCAGAGATGATATGTGGATGCCAATAATTGAGATAATGAGTGACTCAATAGTAGAGAATGAGCACCGGAATATTTGGTGGACAATCCCGAAATGAACATCATCACATCATCTTTGTTAGCTGCTCCTCTCGAGCAATGCTTAGGACTTCTGGTTCCATTGCATTCCATATGGCCATTCAATTATCACTATCGTTGAGCTTCCCTTCCCAGATTTAGGATTTGGAGGGTCTTGGCTTAGATAATAGTCCTTGTCCAAACTTTCAAGACCGGTTGAACAAACATACTCTATTGAGTCCAATTTGTAGAATTGAGTTTAACCGAAATCTTTAACATAGCAACAAAAATAATTATACCAAGAACGGTGAAGTCACAATAATGAAATCTTTAACGGTGACGTTGGTTGTTGAGTTTTGTCCGTAGGTGACATTGTTGGACTTGATTGTATAAAAAGGTTGTAATTAGTTCCCTCACAATAATGAATCACGGTTCTTGACAAGGGAAACAAGGGACAAACAACAAGAACAAAGTGAAGAGGGAATCTAGAAGATCTAGAGGAAGGAGGCGGCATTGGCAGCAGTTTTAAGGAGGAAGCGGCTTTGGAGGAGAAAGGCACTAACAGTGCAGATCTAGACAGGGATCGAGGTGTCGACGGCAGATCTAGACGAGGAGGGCGGCGGCTAGGGTTTTGACGAGTTCCGACGACGATGGCGGCTAGGGTTCCGGTGGGTTCCGGCAACGGCCACAGTTAAGGTTCCATCAAGGCTCTTATACCATGATAATATTCTAGGAATTGTATTTTCTTATTCACAATAGGAGAGGATACAAACATCAATACAAAAGAGTCCTATATTAGGAAACTACACAAAGGAGGCCAAGAAGGTAAAAACCTAGATATCTAAGATGTGTATCTAAAGCAATACATTTTTATCTTTGTCTTGCTTTATTGAGCTTCTACCTTTTGGAGAACTTTCTAGCTTGTAGAATGGAATTTTTAAGATTTATCCTTTGTAAATAACTTGGGAGTTGAAATTTTTGTCTTCTTATTCTTAGCACATTTCTTGATCTAAGAAGCAAACTTGCATACCTCTTCAAATGACCAATAACAATGGAATTCAAACTTCACGGCAACATCATGGTTTAATCCATCAATGAACCAGCAATGGTTTGTTCTTGTTTTTCTTGAACTCCACGCAACATAAGTTGTTGAATTTCAAGGATATAATCATCAATGTTCAGATTGCTTCAAGTCAGTCATCTTGACATAAAGAGCTTGCTTGTATGAAGCTGGTAAGAGCCTCCCCTTGAGCAACTTCTTGGGTTTTCTCCAAGACCTGATTTTAGACTTGCCACTTCATTCTCGTCTGGATTTCATGTTCTCCCACGATAACAAAAACATATTTCTTAAGCTTCAAAACAACTTTGTAGTTTTTTCACCAAAATACACCTTGGCATCGAAAGATTCTCAATATTATTTAGCTACTCAATAACGTCATCCAGATTTGACCATCCATGGAACCCTCTAGAGGTTCCGCTTTGACATCTCAAAGGTCATCTATAATCCTCGTATGTCATGAAGACGCGACATGAAACATCTGAATTGACATTAATTGGGTTGGTAGAATCACTATCATTAGCAGATTGAAAATCATCTTGATGTTTTCGATTGAACCTTCATGCTTGTTCGTCAAGTAGCCTTGCAAGTTGTTGAGTCATGAGATTATTATGTCTCTAGACTTCTCAATTTGTCTATTAAGCACAAGATTTTTAGCTTATCCCACCGTCATGTTGCGAGGAATTGCCATAAGATTTGGATGAAAAGAAAAAGAGGTGGTGAATGGCGAGAACACAAACTAAGGACAACATGTGGGTGCTCATACCAAGTTGATGCGAATTATACTAACAATCTGATTGATCTGGAGACAAAGTAATTAAACACCACCAAGATCAATGAAATGGCAAAAGTTGAATACTATTAGTGATAAAGCAACAAGACCATACTATCAGTGAACTAGAATCGACTCCTCTTGTGTTCCACAAGCTAATGTTTATTCAAAAAAAGAGGTGTGCTTCTAGGAAACTTGGGAACCGTTATATGGGACTGGAAAATTAAAGCAACACTTAAATCTTGAAAGATCAAAAGGCTAAACAAAGGTCAAAAGTCAGAGAGCAACTAAAAGAAACATAAAGAAGCATTAATGGAATTGATCATGATAAAGACTCGATAAATGTGTCAATCAAAAGAATTCATAGGCTTCAACTTGGATTTATAATGGCTAAATTTGATTCCATTAGCATTAGGCAGCCAAAAAATTATGTTCTTCCCTCGAGTGTTCTACATCCAAGTATAACTTGAGAATCTACATCAGCCTCAAGGTGAGCATGACACATAAACATGAGAATCTTCATGGGCCACTTTTGCACCAACTAATTGTTTTGGACAATCAGATGCTCTTGCATCAAAATGTACAAAAAAGTACTTTTGTTAATGCTTAAAAACTTATAGTATTATATGAGGAGTGAAACATGAAAACATAATATTGATTTGAGAATCACTTGGTTGCAAAGTTAAAGTTGAAGACTGTTCGCAATATGAACAATGTTTAAAACCTACACCATTACTCAACCAAAAAAAGGTGAATGAATGTTCGATTTGGTTTGATTTATGCAAGTCTAAGATAGCCATAGAAACCATAAGATTCCAACAAATATGGGTAGACCCCATCCAAATATGTGGATAAAACTTACCTACAGTTTCCTCGACATCTTTATCTTGATTATCGTCTTTTTCTTCCCCAATGAAAGATTCGCTTATAAGTGCATCATCCTTCCATTGAGACATCTGCAAAGAAGCAGAGTTTAATATACCATGTCAACGATCATATATATAAGAAACATACTTCGCTAAAATCCCCAAACCTTACAAGTGTGTACATTTTGATAGATGTACAACTATGAGAAATAAAAGCAATATGATATTGTTGCCTTGTTGTATGATACCATTAAAATAGGACTTACAATAATTACATGGACAAGGAGCAGAAACAAAGTGTCATTAATGAACGGCCATTCTTGCACCACATATTCACCATCATAAAAGAAAACTAATAGAGAATTGGAATCACTCCTCAAACCCTAGATCTCGTAGGATACACACCTAAGTGTTTAGCATCACATATAGAGGAATAATATGTACTTCAAAAGCAACCTAAAATTAATTTAAGACAAGAAAGTATAGTCTCTAAATTGGCCCACAAATATTAAGGGAATAAAGAAAGTATATAACCAACCAAAATTTAATGACCATGATTCCTTCTCCCCCCCCCCCCCCAAAAAAAAAAAAAGTGGCGAGAGCAAAAAACTAACCCATATCAAATCTCCAGAAGGTAAAGATCCAGCTTCTTGAACGCTTGTGTACTAATCTAAGTACACTAATTATAGGCACATCCATACCACCTAACAAAAAACTATCACCGACCACTGACACGAGTTGCTGCTACATGTCATCACATCCCCATATACCAATGTTGTTGCTGTGGGGTAAAGGGGATGAAGTGAAAGAAGAGGCCATTACAGCATGATGGTGAGAAGTGGTAGTATCCTAGACATTACGTACATGACCAATGCACATTAGTGAAACATCGAACTCCTATGCATTCAGATATTAATTTGGATCCATAGTGAGCAATCCTCTTAGTATGCACCTTCTTACAGTTCCTGGAGGTCACCTTTTAATTCGGTTCCCAAGACTAATTCTCACATAAAATTCCTAGCACAAGAACTGCACATTAGTTGCAGATTTGCAATTAGCATTACTCAAATTAACTATTCAACATATATCGTTATGCAATTAATGTATGTGCCATGTGCAAGATTTGGCAGTCTTATTAGTTCTTCCTTAGACTCAACTCATAGCCAAAGATGATCTTTATAGACATAAGAAGCTTGTAAATGGTGAGGTTGCTTTGGTTGTGAGAGAACTTCTTCATATGTAAGACCCATTAAGACATATCTGAATAAAGATCGCAAGCCAAGGTCTTCTCGGAAACGGTCTCTCCATCTCTTGAGATAAAGGTAAGGTGTTAGCTAACACTTCAATTTAGCTATTCAATTCACATGGAGAACACCTCTTGTGCCATTGCTATTCGTTCATAGAAGGTAAAAAGGATCCCCATACATTAGACAAGCGGGGCCTTAGATCCCCAAACAAAAAGAAAGCTCTAACCGAATGTTTCAAGGGACAAATCCCAACCTGAAAGAGCGGTCCAACTTATAGGAAATAAGAAAAGATTATTGTAATATTTGGACTAAAACAACATGGTATCAATACCCTTCGCATCAAACTATCCTTGACCTCAAGGATGTTAGTGAGCCCAGATGTCAAATTTCGAGAACCTTTTTTGCAACTCATCGAAGTCTTCCCACGTACTATCCTCAGGTTCAGAGTTGGTCCAATGAACTAATGCTTCTGATGCTTGCCTGTTTATTTTTTTCACCATCCGCTTGTCTAGATTCCTCAAAGGAAGGTGAACATTTTCACCTGTTTCTCAATCACCGGAGGTAAAGCACTGAGGTAGCGTCATGACCTATTCCATTTTTAAGCAAGGATACATAGAACACATTATGGATCCTCGAATCAGGTGGAAGGTTCAACTTATAACCTACTGCACCTATCCTCTGTATTACTTCAAATGGACCATAATATTTAGCACACAGCTTTGTGAAAAGCCCTCCCATTCACCGAATGTTGCCTGTAGACTATAGTTTCAAGTAAACCCAATCCCTAATGGCCAGTATTCTTTCACTCCGATGCTTGTCAGCCTGTACCTTCATCTTGTTGAGCTTTAGCCAAGTACCCTTGAGCAGCTTGATAGTAAAATCCCTATCCTAAAGCGTCGAATCACCGCTTGATTACTCGAATTTTTTGGGAGATAATGATTGAACTTAAAACTTTTGCCGAAAAGGGCTTCATTCAGGGACATTCTTAAACTTGAATGATGAGATGTATTGTACCAATGAACGGGCCAATGTGAGCCATTTATCCCACAAAGTAGGAGCTTCCAAGGTAAAACATCTCAGATAATTTTCAAGGCATCGATTCAAAACTATCTGATTGTGGGTGGTAAGCAGTTGAGTAGGCCAGGACTGTCTTATGGGCTTGGAAGAGTTCCTTCCAGAAGTTGCTCAAAAACATCAGGTCTCGATCAGATATAATCATGCTGGACATCCCATATAATTTGGAAATTTGTTCCATGAAGAGTTGAAAAACAGAAGAGGCAGTATACGGATGTTTCAATTGTAAGAAGTGACCAAAGTTGCTTAATTTATCAACCACAACAAGAATGGTAGTGTACCCTCCTGATTTTGATAAACCATCAACAAAATCCATGAAAATCACAGTCCACAACCTCTCTGAAGAATCAATAGGCTGCAACAGGCCAGAAGAAGCTGTAATTTCATGCTAGCACTGTTGGTACTCACCAAAATCACAGTCCACAACCTAATAGCTTATTCAGCCACCTTTGAAGCGTAGGATTGCACTATTTCTGTCCTAAAATGTGTTTTAGGGCCTGATGATTCGTCTTGATGACAAACAGCCTCCCCAATGAGGAACCTCTCCATCTTTGAATGGCCGCTTCTATTGCCAGAAATTCATTTTCGTAAGTAGCTACTTGAAGGTGTTTAGGCCCCAACACCCTGTTGAAGAACGCTAGTTGGGTGTTTTCCCTGAATCAACACTGCTCCCACACCGGTCCCCGATGTGTTTGTTTCAATAATGAAAGTCTTTTCAGAATCAGGAAGGGATAGTACCATTGTTCGAAACATGGATGGCATCCTCTACTTTTTCGAAATCAACATCCAAGGGAGAGCCAAGAAAATTGTCTAGGGTGGTCCTCTTTAATAGAACAAAATACTAATCTGCATTCCAGAATCTGAGGGAGGATCTGCTAAGTTGATTTCCAAGCTGACTTTGTTTAGGATTATCAACATTAGTTGGCTCCGATGAATCAATAATTGCTTTTCTATTCGTTAAAAACTTATCCAGTTATCCATAGTTGTTAAATAACCGAAACAATTTGCAAACACTAGCAAAGCAGTTGTCAAATACCCTAGTGATGTTAAATGAAGTGTCAGTTATCCTAACAATTTCAAGAAAAGAGTTGATGTCTGCCAAGTAATTAAACTGTCAACAATTAACTCAAAGATCATGTATTTCTTTGAGGACCACCAAGTAATTAAATAGTTAACCCTTTCAAGTTTCATCAACCCTTAACAGGTAACTCAATAATCATCGATTCCTGTAAAGACTGCCGAGTAATTAAACAATACCAGCAAAGTTCTTGATGATCTGCAAATGTGGAATCTGAATTCTTGATGTCAAAGTTCCCAAATCCAATTTAGTTGTGTAATGCGTTATGGAAGATTGGAGGATGGAAAATTGGAATCTACCAATCATACAACAGAAACATCAAATATCAATGATTATCATTCGATTAAAAGATGAACTTTATGAAAGTAATTCTAAACCCTAGAATTATCTAACTTCAACTTACCGAAACGATGGCGGTGAGCAAGGGTGACGGTCGAGAAAGCAACTATACTTGTGACAGGGGCAGAATGGGATTGTCGAGACTCGAGAGCTTGTTCGAGAGGTTCTGATTCGAGCGACTATTGGAATTGGATTACATAAAAATAAATATAAAAAACCTACGTGCAGTTTACCTAACACTTACCCGGTCAGCTTATCGGTAAAATCTAATATTATTATATATTTACGGGGTAAGATTTTAGTCCAATAAAACGACATAATATACAATAATTTATCCGGTAAGCACTTACCATGGTAAGACTCATCGTTCTCACTTACCGGGTAAGACTCTTTATCTTTGTCCCGTTCTTACCGGCTAAGATTTTTGTTCCTTACTATATTCATTCGGTGAGGTAACGTTACTTGGTAAGTGTTTATTCGGGTAAGCGTTTGGTAAATGGCCCCTTAATGTTCTTGAACATTTTTAAGGCTAAAAATGAAAGGAAAAGGAAAGAAAATAATGATAAGTTTTCTTTCAAAACTTCTCTTTTCAAATTATTATAATCTTCTTATCTTCAAAATGAGTTCAATATTGAATATTTTTTGATTTAATCATATTATTAAATATCGTAAATACATAGTGATTTATTTTTAAAACTTACATTTTATATCTTATGGTTATTTATTTAATTTGTTTATATTTTTTTTTACACTCTTATTTAGCTATACTCCTTTATAAAAAAGCATTTATAATTATCTTGAAATTTTTAACAGGTACCACCTATCAAGCTTGATGTACGTATTTTAAAGCTTCCATCTGCAAGTCCCAACTACTCTCCTTCCTGCTGGAATTTTTAAAAAGTATCAATTGTTATGCTTATTATGCAAGTCTCAAAGCTCATAACCTACAACACCCACTTCTTCTGCAACCACCTTCATCCACGTTCCTTCAAATCCACCCTAATTTCGCTTCTCCCGTACTTGATCGTCTTCTCTCACTCGCAGTTCCTATAAGTTGTCCACCATAACAATTGGTGACTTGACGACTTCAATGAAGTCAATAGTAAAAGATGAATTTTATTAACTAGGTTAAAAGAAACCCTCCCTTTTACTGTTTCCCATTTAGAAATTGCGACCCCGCATCCCATTCAATGAAATCGACCAGACGAGGACCGAGGACCACTACTAGTTGTTCCTTCTTGCCCATCTCCCGCACCGTCAAGGAGGCCACCGCCAACGACGACCATCTCTTGCACACAGCCGATCGCCACGATCACAGACCATAGTCCCGGTTACACACTTATTATTCAATTTCAAGTTTGTTCTTAGATTGATTTTATTTCTTTCTTGCTTAGTTAGGTAGTTGCTTGGATTATCTTTTAGATTTCAAATGTGGGTTTTTATATTTTTCAGATAAATTTGCCGATTTGGGGACATGGAGTGTTGGAGTTTCAAGATTTAGATTTTATATCAAAGGTTTCCACTTGGGGCTTCATCTGTGTGTATGTACTGCACTTGTGAATCTATCATTATTGTTTTGTGGACTTTTTATCAGAAATATTACAAACAATAGAATGATGTTCAAACGACTATACTTTGCACCCTTAGTTTGTTATCGTCTTTTGGATGGTTGGATGACAAGCCACAAGCCATCTATTGGTCTTATGCTCTCGACTGGGTGGTATTTGTAACCGCCCTATGTGCCCTTTGGTTCAAGTGCTTACAGGAATAAGAATGTATGATATCGATGTCCAGAGAACTCTTGGGTCGAAGTTTATGTGATTCATGGAATGACCGAAATCCTGAGAATCAAGTAATTCGATGAGTGTGGAATTCGAGTGTCGGAGCGGTGCTAGATTTCGAGGATTTTTTTTTAAGGTTGGGAGGATTGTAACTCCCGTAAATTTTGAACTTTTTAATATGATAAATTCCTCATCTAAGGGTATTTAAGTTGATAATCGACGAGGGCTTTTTATATAGAAACCATGTTGGAAAGTTTGAGATTCGAGTCGTGCTCGAAAGATGCAAAAAAACGACGAAATTGTGCGAACTTAGGGTTGGCGCGACCTATCTAAGGGTATTTATGTTGGTAATCGATGAGGGTTTTTATATAGAAACCATGTTGGAAAGTTTGAGATTCGAGCCGTGATTTAAAGATGCAAAAAAAGGACGAAAATGCACGAATTTAGTGTTGGCGCGACCTAGGTTGTTGCCCAGGTTGCATAGGTCACTATTTGTGGGCCTGGATAACGTGGGCGACTAGCTGCACGACCTAAGTCGTGGGCTAGGTCGGGGGAATGCGTCTGGTCATTTTAAAAGCTCGACTTTTAGGATTTTGATCCATTTTCTTCCCCTTCTCCGTTCCTCTCCTCCTTGGTGCCATTTTTGAGAACTTAGGTACCAATTTTAGAGCATCTTAGTACGAATCTACCTTAAAGAGTTCAAAGATTTGGTGATTGGAAGCTTGAGTATGGAAATGAGGAAATGTTCCATGTTAGGAGACTTAAAAGACTTGATTGAGGTAAGTTTCATGAATATTACAACCTCTAGTTTAGCAATCTTTGTAGGACAAAATGCATAAAATAGCAATCTACTTTCATAAATTTCTTTATTATAGCATTATACTTCCAGTTTTTCTTATTACAACAATGTACTTTTAAACTATTTTTTATTAGAACATTGTACTTTGAAAATTTTATCCATTATAGCATTAGATAACCTTTTGATTTAAATTTACCCATTATACCAGGTTTCCATGTCACCTCATTGTCCACATAGGTTGTCCACATATACTATAGTGATGTGACTTTCTTATTACAACATTGTACATTCAAAATTATTTTATTATAGCATCTACTAGTTCTTATTAAACAATATACTTTTAATTTTAATATTTAGATATTTTAATAAATATATTAAATGAATTAAAAAAATTCTAAATTATTCATTAATATACTAATATTAATAAAATTAGTAGAAGACAACTTATCTCGCTAATATTTTAAAAAAATATGTGTTTTTAAAAAAAAAATAAGAAACATTTCTTTTTTACCAAAAAGATATCATCTTTTAAATAATATATTATATTTGTTCAAAAACTTTTACTTGACGTATAAATATATTAAATTAATCAAATTTTTTTGAGCTATTTATTAATATAACAATATTAAAAAATTGTAGAACACAATTCATTTCGTTAACATTTTAGATAGAACTTTATAAAAGATAGTTATTTTTTTTAACGACATAAAATAAGAAGTGTTACCTTTTTTTACAAACAAAATATATCTCGAAAATAATGTAACATATTACTTAAGAAATTTTTTACTCWAGAATATTTAATTTGCATGCAATTTAATAAGAAAAAGTCAAAAAATTAAATGTTTTTTAAATCATAGCAATGAGTAATGAAAATCACTAATAATTTGAAATATGTTTTTATTTTTTATTTTAATTAAGTCATCAAAATGATGTGTCATCCACATCACCTCATTAAAGACACACAAGCAAAAAAGTCAAAGGGTTAACCGGTTTAAAAGGTAACAGGTTACTCATTGCTATAATGGGTAGATTTTTTAAAGTACGATGCCTTAATAAAATATAATTTGAAAGTACATTATTGTAATAAAGAAAAACAAAAGTAGAATGCTATAATAAGAAATTTTATGAAAGTAGGTTGCTATTTCATGCATTTAACCCATCTTTGTAAATCTAAAGTTTATGCTCATTTGATGGTTCATTTCTCAACTTGAGGAAATGGTTGGTTTGGAACCCTAGATCCTTCTTGAAGATGGTGAGATCTTCATCAATGGAAGCAAAATTTTGGGGTTTGGAACCTAGGTTTTGTTAACCTAGCAATGTGAGTTCAAGTTGCTTTGTAAAAACTTTGTATATGCCAAATATGTTATTCAGTTGACAAGTTTGCATATTTGGTATATTCGATTTTTTATAAATTTCGTGAAATGTTCATAATTGGGGTTTTTGGATACTTTTGTAAATAAATCTTGAGAGTGTGTTATTTTGATGATTTATCTCACAAATGGATATTTTTATGTTAATGCATTCTTAGTTTTTTGATTTTTTAAACCAGTTGAAAAATACGGATTATTATGTGATAATATATTTTGGAGATATAAATACTATGGTTTTGTTTGGAGAATGTCAATGATAGTTTTTGAGGTAATCACACTTCTCGAGCATGCAGTTTGATTAATGAGTTTTTATTATAAAAATGGTGGGTTTTTGAAAGATTTTGCTTTTACGATAAATACATTTCATTTGTGAAATTATAATTTAAATCAAGTAGTCTTCCAGTTTTATCATTTTGTAATTATGATGAAAATTGTTTGAACTCGCTAGACATTAAACCAAACCTTATTATTTACCGGCATGTGCATCAGGATTTTGCTGTGAAATGTTACTAGCGACATTGTGATGTATTGAGTGTTAGTTAGATGCACAAGAAGGATCTAGCTTTCCGTTGACGTCTTTTGCATTAGGAGACAACAGCTGTTATTGAGTTTTGGTAACACCCGACCTTGATCTAATACTTATGTTAGGCTTAGTTTATCTATTGTTGATGTAAATCTAGATTTGTCACTCGAGGTAATTCAAATATCGATTTATAGAAAGCACTTTATCCTTTATTTGATGTATTATAGAAAATTCTAATTTAATCGATTTTTTCCATATTTGAGGGTGTTACAACATACCCCCTCACATAAGAGGCATTTTAGTCATTTTACATATTTTAATGAATTAAATCAGTATACAAATATTTAAAATTGTAAGTACAAGTCTTAAAGCTTTACACAAAAATAAAAAAAGAGGACAAAAATCCATGAACCCACCTCTGTCTCCACCACCCTGTCATGCTCCCTTCATCAAAAACCCCACCTTTTCTTTTCTATCAGATTTAGGGGTCGTTTACTAAACATTTATACTTGGTAAGTGTTTAACGCATAAATTTCCTCATCGGATGAATATGAGAAGGGCCAAGAATCTTACCGGGTAMGAGTGATGAGAAGGATGAAGAGTCTTATCCGGTAAGTGAGGATGACGACTCTTACCCAGGTAAGCGCTTACCCAGTAAATTGTTGCATTCGATTTGTTTTGATGTACTAAAATCTTATGCATCAAAATAAATTATAGTGTTGACTCATATTGGTAAGCGCTTACCGGATAAGCATTTAGGTAAACGACTCCTTAGTCAATTCTTGAACCAACCTATATTTAAAAAACAGATCGATAAATCAATTCTAGAACCAACATATATCAAACAAAACCAAATACGCAAATCCGAGATCATTTGTTGGTTTAGTTGTTTCATGGGGTAGGGGTGAAACATGGCTATTTCACTCTGTTCCACATAAAAGTCATGCCAAACATGAGACAAAATCCCTATCCTGTTCTGTCAAATGTACCAAACGCACCATTAATGAAGTCGAAGGACGAGAACATAATTCGCTCTTAATTTATTCATAATTAGATATTTTAAATTTAGAGAAGTCATCTTAAGAAACTTGATTATTAAAATAAATATAAAATTATATATCTATATTTAGTTATAATAATCTGATGTAATAACTTGCATTAGATATTAGGTACCTAGAATCGATATGGATATTGTGGATCGAAATCTAGCCCTGTATTTGTACTCATGTATCTATTGGTCGAGCAACAGAGTATCAAATTATGTTTGTGTTAGTTTATTGTTATCTCACTTAGGGTGCGTTTGGTATACAGACTGAATGGGATGAGACGAGACGAGACAAAAATAAATAGTGCCATGTTTGGCATGCCATGGAACATAAATAAGTTTTCATGGGACTATTCTTGAGTTTTTTTGTTCCACCAAAAAGGTGGAACAACATGGGACTAAACCTTGAGATTACAATATTACCCTTATTACTTCACATCAGATACAAAACCTAATTAAACTCCATCGCCTCCATCTTTCTTCATATTGCAGCTCGATTCTAGCATCCATCTTCCACTAACTAGAAGCCGATTCCACACTCCAGCTTCCACAAGCTCGAACTTGATTCCGATTCAGGTACAATTTCTTCTCCATCTTCCATGGTTGTCGATTTCTCCATACTTTCCTGCACCAAATCGATTCGACAAACTCGAAATCAATTGGCTACTGTTGTTTCGAGAGTCAATTGTGTTTGTTTCATTAATCTGTAGACTGTAGCTGTTAATCTTACTAACTTAGGGTGGAACTGAATTGCTTCTTTTTAGTTTCTTCTGATCATCATTGCATGAATATATGATGTTACTATGAATTTGACTGTTGTTTGTTTTGTAAAAAAACCTTTATATATTCCAGCAAGTTCCAAGAAGTTGAATAAAATTTAACATATCTAAGCTAAAACCATGTACGTTTAGAATGGGGCCGTTTACCAAACGCTTACTTGGGTAAGAGCTTACTAAATCACATTACCTACCGGATGAATATGGTAAGGACCAAGAATCTTACCCGGTAAGAGCGAGCCAAGGATAACAGTTTTACCCGGTAAGAGCAAGGCAAGGACAAGAGTCTTACCCGGTAAGAGCAAGGCAAGAACAAGAATCTTACCCGGTAAGTGAGAGTGATGACTCTTACCACGGTAAGCGCTTACCAGGAAAATTGTTGCATACAATTTCGTTTTTGTGAACTAAAATCTTACCCGGTAAGTAAATGATAGTATTGACTTTTACCGGTAAACACTTATCAGTTAAGTCTTTGGTAAACGGCCCCGTAATATTTCAACCTAAACTAAACCCAGTCTATTATAAGTCTGTAATCAAGAGCCTCAATCTTAAAACTGATCAATTTACACATACACATGTATGTTTAGAACAATTGGTGTTTGTAATGGAATAATATTTGTTTTGGTATTATTTCTATAGAATCACGTGTGATTTGTCTTATGGAAGCATATTTGTTTGTCTTGGTATTTGTTATTGTTTAGTAGATTTGTAAAAAATGGCAGACCCTCGTGGGTAGACAAAGGATCAGGAAGACTTGTTGATCACAGTTCTTCAAAACATTGTCATAAATGGTGGAAGAGGTGACAATGGAAGCTTTAGGTCTAGTACGTATGAGAGTGTTGTCTCAAAGATGTGGGAAAGAATTCTCGATATTAGCGTAACAGCAAAGCACGTGCAAAATAAAATCAAGCAACTGAAAGATAAATATTCCATTGCTTATGACATGCTATATACGAGCGGAATGACGCAAATCAATATGTAACTGTCAAAGCTCCCGAGATTTTGGAGGAGTAAAAGGTTAGTAGTTATATATTATAATAGGTTATGTATAATGTTTTTTGTTACTTTTTTTATTAATTGTTTGTTGACGTAGAAACATCCCAACAAAAACTACACGGCTAATAAGCCATTCCCGGCTTATGAGCGGTTGAAGTTGGTATTAAGTAAAAATCGTGCAACAAGAAACATCGCCGAATCTGCTACACACTCTTTGAAAAATACGAACATGATTATTTTCCAACCGAAGTTAATGTTCCTCCCATTCGAAGTCCTTCCAATACAACTTCTCATTCCAAATGAAGGAGAAGAAACAAGTAAAAAGAGAAAAAAGACAAACGAGATATCCAAGTTAGTAAAGGAAACCAAGAATGAAATCCATGAAGCAACCAATCAAATGAAAAGGTTGGTTTCAGTTATCTCGGATTCTATAACGGAAATGAATGACTTAAGCAATGAGTTGAAACGACTTGGACTTGGTGTCATGAAAATCATTCGAATGGATAAGTACTTTGGTGACAAACCGTCCCAATATTGTTTTTGGAAGAATTTGGATGATAATATGAAACTAAAATTTGTGAAATCAATTTATGACGAGGACAAGTAGTAGTCTTAGAATATGGTCAAAACAAAAGGAATACTTTGGAATGCTTGACATGTTTATGAAGACAATTTTTGTTTTCAAATGTTTATTATCTTTGGTACACTTGACATGTTTATGGATGGCTTAAGACTACTACTTGTCCTCATCATAAATTGATTTCACAAATTCTAGTTTCACATCATCATCCAAACTCTTTAAAAAACGACATTGGAACGGTTTGTTACCAAAGTACTTACCCATTCAAATGATTTTCATGACACCAAGTCCAAGTCGTTTCAACTCATTGCTTAAGCCATCCATCATTTCCTTTGTAGAATCCGAGATAACTGAAACTAACCTTTTCATTTGATTGGTTACTTCATGGATTTCATTCTTGGTTTGTCCTTTTTCTCTTTTTACTTGTTCCTTCTCCTTCATTTGGAATGGAGGAACATTAACTTCAGTCGGAAAATCATCATTACTTTCCATGTTCATATTTTTCAAAGCGTTTGTAGCAGATTCGACGATGTTTCCCGTTGCACGAATTTTACCGCACACCAACTTCAACCGCTCATAAGTCGGGAATGGCTTATTAGCCATGTAGTTTTTTTGTTGGGATGTTTCTACATTAACAAACAAACAAACAATTAATAAAAAAGGTAACAAAAAACATTATACATAACCTATTATAATATATAACTACCAACCTTTAAATACTCCTCCAAAATCTCGGGAACTTCAACAGTCACACATTGATTTGTGTTATTCCACCCAAATTCGCTCGTATTTAGCATGTCATAAGCAGCGGAATATTTTTCTTTTAGCCGCTTTATTTTATTTTGCATGTGCTTCGCTGTTATGCTAATACCGGAAATTCTTTCCCGCATCTTTAGACAACAGACTCATACATACCTGACCTAAAGCTTCCATTGTCATCTCTTCCACCATTTATAACAATGTCTTGACGAACTGTGACCAACAAGTCTTCCTCATCCATTGTCCACCCACGACGGTCTGCCATTTTATTACAAATCTACTAAACAATAACAAATATCAATGAAACAAACACAATCGACTCTCGAAACAACAGTAGCCACTCGATTTCAAAAACTGATTTCGAGTTCGTGGAATCGATTTGGTGCAGGAAAGTATGGAGAAATCGGCATCCATGGAAGATGGAGAAGAAATTGTACCTGAATTGGAATCAAGTTCGAGCTCGTAGAAGTTGGAGTGTGAAATTGTCTTCAAGTTTGTGGAAGATGGAGGCTAGAATTAAGCTGCAAGATGAAAAAAGATGGAGGCGATGGAGTTTAATTAGGTTTTGTATTTGATGTGAAGTAATAAGGGTAATGTTGTAATCTCAAGGTTTAGTCCCATGTTGCTCCACCTTTTTTTTGGTGGAACAAAAGAAACTCAAAAATAGTCCCATGAAAACTCATTTTTCCCATGCTATCTAAACCTTATTTATGTCTTATGGCATGCCAAACATGACACTATTTATTTTTGTCTATTCCCCTCCCACCCAATCTGCATACCAAATGCACCCTTATGGATCAATCCGTCCTAATAGATTAGGAAGATTTTTGTTTGGTAGGATTTTTTTGTAGATGAAATGAGCATGTTTGGAAGAAAACTTGGCTTTTTGTATAAAGCTCCCCCTAAAAGCTTACTGAATAAACCACTTTCTATATCATTAAACCACTACCAAACAATCATGTATAGTTGACCAAATAAGCTGTGAGTCCCCTTAAACTCATTAAGTTGCTAACAAACAAGCCCTAACATTAAATGTCATAATATAGTAATAAATTCATAATAACATGAAGAAAAAAAACATTCCCTTTTCAAAACATAACAAACCCAAATAAAAGGAACCAAACTGACTTCTGAAATTGCTAATAAAATCTCCTACGTTTATACCGGTTTAAGAAATAAAACACGTTCCGAAAAGAACTGGTTACAGAACCAGTTATATTGCATATAAATGTATATATATATGTATGGGGTATATCGTCAAATTTACATACATATTCTTTGTTTTTATTTTCCCAAATTTATTGACTGAAATACGTGCATAGATAAAAGAAAGTTCATAGTCGATTACCCTTTCAGGATATAGTAAATATTCTATAAAAATACCATGCTTCCAATGAAAGAAAGAATATAGAGCGGGAAAGAACGAACATATCTGTCAGCCTTATTTGCTCAAAAGGATAGGAGACATGGTATCCCACCGTGTTTGTGCCCAACAAGTTGAGACTCTGAATTAAACCCATATATCACCTGCAATTTTGTAAGAGTTGTGAATTTCAGCACATATGTTTGAAATTCTTTTTAAGAACCATGTGCGTTTGGGCCAGCTTGAGTTTGCCTCGACCAATCCCAAAGGGTCCTGAAGTTAACAATTGGGAAAGTCGGCACTGAGGAGACTCGAACTGCTGATCAATGGTCAGCAAACTCAAAGTGTGACCAGTTGAGCTACCCTCAAGGGTTAGAAATGGCCTTTAGCTGATCTGGGGGTCAACAAAGTTCTGGTGGCATGCACACATTTATAAATAGAATACCGAGGAATATATTGCACCTGCTAAAAATACGATCATTCTTTTTTAGCAACAGCGGGTGTCCGGGCCCATTTACGCGCACCTCGACTAAATCATATGGAGTGCTAAAGATAACAGCCAGGAAAATCCCAGTGTCCGTGGGGAAACTCGAACTGGCTATTAGGGAATGACTAGTTTCAAAAAATAATCTGTTAGCCCCCATATTCATTTGCATCCAGCCTCAAGTCTTCGGATAAAAGAAATATCATGATATCTGCCCACCTACATTGCTGAGTCTCAGATTAGCAGGGACTCAAAAAGGTGGATTCGACCTGTTACAGAAACAGTCAGAGGTTAAAACTGATGAGCAACAGAATTCTCAGACATTAAATAAGAAATGTTTCATTATTTGTGACGTAACCAATCATGAACTAGTATGAGGATGTCCATTTTTAGGAGATTGATTGATCTATTGACGAAATCCATACACTTGTTGATGGCTTCAATCGTAGGCAAACTAAACCAACCCGAAAGTACCCAGTATATCCCACTTGAAATTAGGGCTTTTCCTCTTGGACCATTTAACAAAGCCGTCTGTGATGATTAATTATTACGAGCAGGCTTGTTTTATTACAGTTGACCAGTTATCGGCACCCTAGATGCACTAGGCACCCATGTTGATATGCAAATATGGGGATCAACATATATATATATATATATATATATATATGTATGTATATATATGTATGTATGAAACTATTACTGAATGTAATGAAGTATCTCCGAAGAGTAGAAGCATACGAGTGATAGCCATTTAAGTATCCTTTACCAAAGAGAACGAAAAATAGAAACTCTATGGAACTATCATTGAATGTGGCAAACACATGCTTTTGAGGGACCTAATGCAGACTTCATCTAATTTAAGTCTACTTTCCCAAAGAGAATGATGGCAGAAGAAACTCAACAAATTGGAGATGGTGATAAGAAAATCAAGCAAATTGGACAATTCAAAAAACCTCCTGAAAGAAGTTCCTATAGAGTACTCCCTGAACTTAAGAAATGACAGAAACCCTTCTAAAGTTTAGCAATTTGACAAATGGAATACATCTTAACTTTCAAGAATCAAATAATGACACTTGACAACACGCCAAACGCCTTTTACTTCTTGATTAAAAGTAATATCCACATGAAAGGAGGGTCCAAAGAAAGAAAATTTACAAGATGAGAGGTCATATGCAACTCTCGAAACATGTTGTCAGAAAGGAAGTGATTGCTAATCAAAACATGTTAATAATGAGACTTGCACTCAAACAATCAGTCTAACAAACTACCCCATCAAATCAATGACATCAAAAGAATACATCAGAAACACATCAAATCATTCTTACCATAAATGAATGACACTAGCGCACAGCACAAGCTTGTCCATAGTAGTAGCACAAAATTGTTCACAGTGGCGTACAACAGTACTGTTTCCAGTTTTATTTTAATGGTGACTAGGGTTTGGTTATCAAAATCTTAGCTCTTATACATCTAACTGTTAAGACTTCCATAAAAGTTATAACCGAAGAGAAAAGACTGAATATGTTTGCATGTTGCAAGCTTGAGCATATGCATATTCCTAAACAATAATTTATAAATCCTAATGCATCTGATCTATGAGTAGGTGTGCTTCAAATAAATTAGAAACTCTGTGGGAGTGCATATCACGGTCTTGTTCAAATCCAAAAGGCGAATGGTTTGAATATGACGGGTGTATCCTTTTGTGTGTATGAACCAGATGTGTGTCATCAAAACTGTTGGAAAATGGCCGTGATCGCGCTGGAAAGTTGTATTGCAAGGTGAAGATACTCATGTAGTTTATGTTTATTTAGGGTTAAAATGGTTCCAATTATCAGAAACTGCACCATGTAGGAGTGTAGTGAGAAAGTTGAAGTGCACTTATATGGAGGGAAAAAGAAGCAGGCCGCAAACTTGAGACAAGAAACCAGTTGTTTCCATGGAGACCCCTGGTTGTGAAAAAAGAGAAACTTTGCAGCAAACTTGAGACAAGAAAAGCARGTTAGGAGCGAGGAGCCACATACAAACAGAAGCAGGTACTAGAAAGTGACAAGGTAAGAAAAACCAAACACCCCTAGTCCAACTTGGAGCTCTAGCAACTTATCTACCGGCTCACTACCCTTACCTCCCCCCCCCTCCCTACCTCTGCAGCTCCCATCTATTTAAGCAACCCCACCCCTAATTTGCTACCCTAATCCTATGTCTCCTATAACTACTATGAGGAGTCATGTCCTCCAAAAGGCCTAAAGTTGTCATGCCCAACCTTCGTTGCTCATCCCATGTCCTCCTCGCCCTCTCAACAGTCATACCACCATTTGTCTCCTGCAAACATGGCCAAACCACCACAATCTTCCCTCTCAACCTATTTGTGATATGTGCAACTCCCAACCCCGCCTGAAAGACATCATGCGGTATCCTGTCAAACCTGCTCCGGCCACAGGTCGATCTAAGCATCCTCATTTCTACAACCGCAACCTTACCTCTTTCACATGTTGGAGATTCTATAACCTATATAAAGTACATCAATAGATATTTAATATGTAATGGTGTGTTGCATACCACTACACCAAAATCCCAATTTTCGATGTTAATCATATGCTCCTGATTAGCATATGATTAGCATTTGATGACCCAAGACATCCTAAAGTAGGAAACTTGTATATTAACTCCTTCCTGGCTATGCTTCCCAATAATGGCCAATTGAGAACAAGTGTTTCAACATTGCAGATGCATGACAAGATTTGTAATTTGGAAGTATAACATATCAGCATAACAACTTATCAACTCATCGTTTTTATAACAATGTATTAACTTGTTGTATTTTATAATATTATGGACTTCTAACCTCTAACTAGATTTAACCCGTGACAATTGCTTTCAAGCATCAAAGATGTGTGAAATAACAGTTGCTATTGAACACAACACGACAAGGTACAACCAAATATATGCCAAAGATTAATGTATACTTATGACGTGCACACCTGATAATGCCAAGCATTGAGCTCTTTTGCATGCATTGATGACCTCAAGGAACTGTTTCTCCATATGCAACATTGAAAAGCCACATCAGTTAAATAGCCACATGGATATCTGCATCACTATTATATGAAATATCTCTCTGTGTGACAGGCTTGCCCGATGCAGCTTTCCTTATTTCAAAAGCTTCTTTCAGCATCCCAGCCTTTAGAAGACGTGATACCAATGAATTTACAGTAATCGAATCAGGGGCACAGCCAAYTACTATCATCTTCTGGAAAAGGCTTATTGCTTCAATCATTCGCCCTTTCATACAATGCCCAATAATCAAAATGGTAAATGTTAACTTATCAGGGTAGCATCTTTTCTCCTCCATTTCCTTAACAATCACATTAGCCTCATCCACGTTGCCTGCTTTGCAGAAACCATCAATTACAGGGTTGTAAACAAATGCTTTAGGAATAATATCGCYCCTCTTCTTCAATTGTMTTAAGAGRTCACGTGCCTCATTTAATCTAYTTTSTTTACACAAAGTATTGATGAGAATGGAAAAGGTGTATATGTTGGGATATAAATTTCTTCTATTCATCTCATCCCAGATCTTTAAACCTTGGTGCACTTCTCCTAGGCGACAATGGCCATCAATGATAGATGTGAAGGTGATGACATCAGGGGTACAACCATGATCAACCATCTTCTCGTACATATTTAGTACAGAAACCATATTGCCAATCTTRCCAAAACCATCAATTATGACATTAAAGGTAAAAGTGCTAGGTYTGATTCCATGACTTATCATATCACTAAATAGGACCATAGCCTCTTCCATCTTACCTAGTTTGCAATACCCGGATATAACTGAAGTAAAAGTCACAACATTCGGTGAACATCCRTCTACCATTGAAGTTTCTCTCAACAAGTCATGTGCTTTATTAACATTGCCAGCACGACAAAATCCATTCAAAAGAGTATTATAGGTAACCACATCAGGCAAACAACCAAACATCCTCATGTGATTGAAAAACCCAAATGCCTTGTCAACCTCCCTAGCCCTGCACAGACCAGAGATGACTATATTAAAAGTATAAGCATTATGAGAATAGCATTGCGATCTTAAAATAATGTTTTCAAAGAAAGCAACCGCCTCATCCACCTGATTACTCTTCACCAATGAACTCAAAATTTTGTTAACCACAATACAACTGAGCACCCCATCCTTTTCAACACTAGATCGAGAACTATCAACAATCAACTCTTTGGCAACCTCAAACTTACCAGCATTCACAAATGACTTTATTACAAAGCCCAAAAGCGAATTATCTGGCGATACCCCATCAATCCTCATCAAATCAATTAGCAGTTTGGCTAAATCATGAACACCAACTTGACTAAATGACCTTAAAAGAAAACTATATGTTTCAATCGAAGGAACAAGATTCAACGTATTCTTAGTATATTCTAAAAAACTAAAAGCCAATTTTGGGTTATTCCAATTACTACTCATATGCTCAATAACACTAAAAGCAGTCAAAGAATTTAAATTCTTGCGAAGATAATCCAAAATGCGAACTTCTTCCATTGACGATTTACGTCGAACATATAAGGTGCATACAACCTTAACAAACCAAACAGAGGTGGCCCCTCCAAATTGACCTTGAGATTTTGAGATCGATGAAAATTTGGAAGCCCATTGTAACCTATAGAATCTAAACAAACAGATTGGGAAAATATGAGTTCTTGGGGAATGATTCGACCACCTCAATGGCATTGTTCCTAATCTGCCAATGGAGCAACCGAAGAAATCGCAATGACTCTCACGTATCTTTAACCTACAATCAACAAATAGATCATCTGACCATTGAGTCTACCATCCCTTCCGCATCTAAAACGATAACAAACGGTGAGTGATATGCGGCAATGAAGAAATCCGACCCATTGAACCAATCATCACAGACGTCAAACCCTCATCAGAACTTTTAAGACCAAACAGAAACCATTATAGCAGCCGTGAAGCACGGAATACATCGGCTGTGTGAATCTGCTGGTCGGCCGAGCTCAGGTGAACCTTGGTGAGGCTAGGTTCGGGAAGAGAAGACCGAGATTGGGCTAGCACAGCCCAAATGCGTACTTCTATTCTAGTTCTAGCCTTCTAGGGCTGCAACTGGGCTTATAATACGAATTTTTTTTATTGTGATTTTTGATTTTCTGTTTTTATGATTAATCTATGTTATATCATAAAATATTTGACAAAAATTCTTAAAAATCATTTTTTATGCATGAAGTATTGTGTATTAATATATATTACCTAAAATCTAAGATTACAAATAAATTGTACGTAAATACAACTTATTAAAGCTTCATTTTAGAATTCGTATAACTAACTGCAGATAAACATAATCAAATACCGGATAGACATCTCATTTTAAATATAAAAAATCTAAAATAAAATTAAGATAATTATTGAGTTTTAACCGAATACTTAATCATTATTCTTATAAAAAATTATATTATTAAATAAAAAATAAATTACTTCGTTACTAAATTTAAATTAAATTATAATAAAAAATTGAATTAAAGAAATTACAAAAAAACAAAACTTTTAAATAGTTAATTTGATACTAATATTGATATATTTATTTTTAAAATTTTATGATATCTTCAATGGTTAATTTGATACTAATATTGATATATTTATTTTTAAAATTTTATTTTTGAAATTTTATGATATCTAAAAAAACCCAATGGACTTTAATGTTTGGATTAATTAAGTCTTTGAACAATTTTTTGAAACAAATAAGTCCTTGGACATTCCAAAACATGTTAAATAACTCCTTGGACAATTTTTTGAAACAAATAAGTC